TGGGCCCTGTGCTTGGGAAATTAAAGAGTTTCTGCAGTGTGCTCAGGGCCAGAGTGATCTGACACTATGTGATGGCTTCAATGAAGCGTTACGCCAGTGCAAGCTCACCCATAGTAAGTATATTGATGTATGGAAAGTGAAATTGACAGTGTTATGATGGAGTGGTCATAGGACTTGGTAGGGAAATAAGTAATGATTCAGGATTTTAATGGGGAAACTTGGAAAACAAAAGAGATAGGATACATCAAGTTGAATGTAAAGTAAGTAGGTTATGAGGATGAATGTAAGGTGGATGTGCCCTTCTCAGGATTGAATTATTGTGTTTGTCATGCTGAAGTATAAGGTTCTGTTACCAGAGATGGTACTGTGCACACTTTCAACTGTCTGAGAATATTGACATATAATGGTGTTTGGATTGGACTGGCTCAGGGTAGGATCCAATGGCAGGCTTTTGTGAACAGAGTGATGGAGTTTTGGGAATTTCATGCCTAACTGAATAACCAACAACTACCAAAGAAAGGTTGTGTATAGTTAAATAAGGTTGATTCATTGTTCAGCATAAGGCATGACATATTCCAGGTGTTCCCATAAATAACTATGTGGTATTGAAATGTGAATAAGACAAAAGTCAACAGTTGTACCAGACCCAGATCAATCCATTTTAAATCCTCACATTGTATTTATATATTAGAGCATGAAGTTGACTACACCTCCATCTGGTATTGATGTTAATGGATGAAACTTTATATCTTTGTCTTTTGCGTGGTGTTTAGGCACAGTGGCAGTCTAACCTTTACCTTTTATTGTGTGTATGGCATTCATATGTACTAATGTTTTTAATTTTCTTGTTTCAGACTTGTAACTGCATTGTCTGTAGTTCCTGATTTTAGACTTCAAAGTTTTTGGAGGAGTGTGTCCAGATAAGCAGCTTAGAGAGATAAATGTTGCTTAGAAAAGACATGTATTTATCCACTTCGATGTAGAAAGTGCTACCAAAATATATACATGTATAAATTAGAGAAATTAATTCTGTTATATGCTGATTGTTTTAACATTTATTTTTGTTGTATTTAAATAGGAAGAACTTTATTTGTTTCAGCCTTATTATATATGCTCACACAGTTGGTTGTATGTTACTTGTCTTTGAACAGATGGTTATCCAGTGCATTAGTTTTATTTTAACTGTGCAGATGAGATTTTATTGCTGCCTGTGAGTATGGGACTGGTTTTGTATTGATGTGAAAAATTTATAAAAGAGCTGGGCAGAACTTGTGCATGCAGAAAGTTTCTGGATGGATGTGGAAGATTTATATATTGTAGCCTGGTTAAGAACTGGCAAGTTGTTGCAAAGTAATTCAAGAGATGTGTATTTTTGCTCGTGAATCAATAGACTAATACAAAAAATTTGAAGTGTTAAATTATTTTCTGTTATGAGGGTAAATAAGCACGCACAGTTTGCTAAATTTACAGGCTAATTCTTAAGATCGGATGGCAAATCTTTTACATCTTACATACTGAAATAAAATTAAAGATTAAGTCACACTTTGCTTGATACTGAGATGTAGTTTAGATACCTACCTTTAGGGAAACCACCATTATATTGTGCAGAAAATTGTGTGCTTGAATGAGGCTGATAGCAGTGTTTGGGGCAGCATAGTTGCTAGTCAAGCTTCTCTTAGTAGGCATAGTGTAAATCTTGTGAGCCAAACTGCTGATGAGTAGACAGAAAATTAATATGGGGAAGCCCACCTGTGAATGGCAGAGAAACTGAAATTGGAGCTCTGGCTCCTTCAGGTTAAAAGAATATTAATGAATCTTTATTTGTCTCAGTATGGACTTGATTACAGATGTATTGGTATATTATTTAATGATTGAGCTCAGTTTACCTGTGCTGGAGTCAGTAGGTATGTATGGTCACAGAACAATGGAAATAATTTCAGTCAAGTGTGTTGTGATGTTGGCAGCAGCCTTCTGGACCTACATCGCTTGTTAGAAAATGTTCCTCTGAGAAGATGATTACATAAGCACTTTCAGTGTGATGGTGTGCCTCCAAATTTCAGTTAAGTGATGCAGTAGCTTATTAATATCCATCGTGATATAGTTTGGCCTTGAAAGTTACCATGCACACACAGATTTATGTATGTTGGGCCAAATGAAGGCCATGGCCAATCATTCATGCCACAAGATATATAGATCTTGAATTTCTTGGTTGAGTTACATGTTTAGCAGTAAATTTGATACATTAATGTAAAGGTGGCCACTTATGATACATGTAAACTGAACAGCACAATGTAAGTGCTTTCTAAGTATACAAATGTACAGAGTTCATAAGCACAGGATTGGAATTGTGTTTTCTGAATATTTTGGCTGATAATGATCTAAACACTTTACATGTCTTAATTTAAGATTTTAGGTTTTCATGGTGGTGAACTTGTTGATTGTGATCTTATGGGCTATGATAACGTGTACTATATGCTACAGTTTCGAAAGAATATCACCTGTTATTTCCCATCTACATTTATTATTTGGGAATATAATCATCCTAACTCTGCAGAATTTTTCATGGCTGCATCTTATTCATGTGTTTTGAAATTAGTTTGTCTGCCTCTCTTATGTTTCCCTAGGACAACAAGTATATACTCAACAACACTGTTTTGAAATGCTACCAGTGTATTTTATTCCAACAGCTCTGTAAAACCAAAATTTCATCCCCCATATAAAACAGGAATAGGAATATATGGATGAAGTAGTCAAAATCATAAAGAAACAGTAAATGAAAGTAACAAACCAAGTACTTACCCAAAAAACTTAGCATTCCAATATAATACAGACTCAAAGTTCAGAGGAACAGACATAATCATCTAACCTTCGAAAGTTCATGATGGTAAAGTAAGCAAAACTTCAATTCCTTATATTTATTTTATGTTCTGTAAAGCGAAACATGAATATAATACGGAAAGAAAAGAGTGCGGGTTGGAAATTGACATGAAAGGAACCTACAAACAACAACGATCTCGTAGCGTGCGTCGATTATCCAGCCTGAAAATCGTGAATAGAGCGAAGTGAAATATGTGCCATCTATGAATAAACGCCAGTACCACCAAATTGTCATCGACTTTAGTCAATTTTATCGAAACCCATTGTATCGATTTAATAAGTTTTTCCCGATCGATAATTCATTGACTATTGATGGTGATTAACGTGAAGGGAAAGGTGGTGTTGAAGATTCCAGCTGATATGTTATATTTGCAGTAGGTTTTGGAACATATTGAAGACGTCCGATTGGATAGAACCTTTGTTGAAAAGCCGCGCCCCGGGATGAAATGACTGTCTTTCTTTCTTTTTCGCTGTATAACAATAGTGTGAGGTAGAAAATTGTAAATGTTATAAGCTCCATAAGTAGATAGTAATAAATAATGGAAACGACAAGTGAAATAGAGACTTTCGGCGCAAAATCGGACGGTGAAAACGGAGGTAACCTCTTTCAGTTCTCATGGCATTTGTGTCGATGCAATGTAGATATGGTTAAATCATGTTCAGGTCTATACATATACACTTGTGTTGTAGATCTGAATTCAAGAGTCAAAGGCTTGTTGGAGAGAATTGAGAAATTAGAGAATGAAAAACAACAAATTCGTGAGGAATTTGGACATCAGCGTGCCAAGATGAAGGAGCTGTATTTACAGAAGGAAGGTAACTACATTTTGAGGAGTGAGACAATCTGATTTTTTTTAAGTTTTCGCAATCTGTTTTTTTTTGAGTTTTCGCAGTCAGGCAAATATATACAGCGTTGCCAAGTGAAGTGGTGACTTACAATGTATACAAACAAGGCCATGATCTGCAGTCATTTAATTGCTCACTGCTGAAGCATCAATGTGTGCTTATAATCAGTCAACACTCCTTATCCTGTTCTATCAAATAATATTCACTCTTTTCTATTTTTAAAAATGGCTGGAATGTAAACTACCCTTTTACATCCATGAATGCTGAGGCTTTGAATTCATGGATTTTATGAGCTCCAGTATACCTTCATGATATGGGGCTTACTGTAAAGAATAGCTTTACTGTTTTGCCAGAACTTATGGTGTGATTTTAGGTATTACTTGTAATGTGAGAAGATAACATCTTGGAATATGCAGTATGAAATTAAGTGTTAGAAATTAAGGTTTTAATTCAGTTTTACAAGATTTGTTGGTTTTGAGTAATTTGATTTTATGGTTACAGAGGAACTGAAACGAGGGGCTGCAGATCAAAATTGCTTGCTGGCAGATGTTAAAAGACTAAGCTCAGAATTGGATGAGGCAAAGAGTCAGTTAGTTGTTGCAGGATTCCGTATGGAGAGTGACTTACAGGATGAAAAGCGGAAATGTCAAGAAGAAATTGCTTCTCTTCAGCAAATTGTGCAAGGTATAATATTGCAGACTAATTAATTAAGCCATGTTCCTTGATGACTAATTAATGGATTCAAAGTTAACTCACTAAAACTTATTTTCTGTTGTCATCATATTAACCAAATCAAGATACAACTTTAAAACCAATTTGTAATATTATTTTCTCTAAACTGGATAAAATGATGTACTGCCATGGCTTACTTCATGTGGAGTTAGGTAGTGGCATTTTCTCCACTACAGATGTTATGATCGTTCCATCATCTGGTTACGGGAACTTTGTTTTTTGAAAGTGGAATTGATTGCTTGATGATACATCTCTAAAACAGTTTGGTTAGGTTGATCCAGAGTTAATATGGCATGTCATGCCATTAGGATTTCGTAGGAGTTAGTCCTCAGAAATGGGATTGGCTTCAAATATGTGCGATAGTTTTATTTTAATATGATCAAACACTGAGATTTTTTTTTAATGCCACCACAAAGCTGTTATCTTCAGATGGAAGCATCAGATGCTCATTCCTTCAAGTAAGACTTGTGGAGATTTGCCCTGTTAGCGGACCTGACAAAGCTATAGCCATTCTAGAAATTAATCGTTACCCAGATAACAGTAGATTTTAGAAATGCTCTCCATTATGAAATATTTGAGGTTTTCACAGTGATGAGGATGATGATCTTCTGGGTTTTGGCACAATGTGCCGTCCACAGACCAGGAGAAAAGCCCTGCTGGGAATTTGATATATGTGCATGCGCAAGATTTCGCGGTGAGTGATGACCCATCCTAAAAGCATTCGTTCCACAACCACTGAACGAACAACAGACAACAGGTTTTTATGTGTTCCGATGGGTATAGCTTAAGATTACCTCACAGTGGCACAGTGATTTGATCTAGAATATTATCACAACACCCACAGAACACACTAGAAGTACACTCACTACACACTACTCTTAACTGCTTGATGTTTTCAGTCTGTGTGTAGTAGTGTAAAACTCTGACGTATCACACTTCCCACCAGTAGCAGCCCTCTAGTCCACTTGATAGTAAATATTCTCCCTGCACCGCCCCAGAAACAACTTCCCCCTGCAGGGCTTTTCTCCTGGTCCGTGGACTATAGTCTTGTTGATAGATACCAACATTTTGGAGAAACATACTCTCTCCTTCTTCACCCCAGTAGATGGAGACTTTATGTTTCTCTAAAACATTATATGTCTTTGTCCACATGGAATTACAACCCAGAAGACCAACATGAACATGTTCACTGCAGTGAGAACCTTGAATCTCATAGTTATATATATAGTTTCAATTTATCTTGTTACTGAACAGAAACAGTTGAAGAATCAAGTAGCTCTCGCAGCAAGTACGATTCTGAAGTGAAGCGACTCAAACGAGCAAATGAACGACTAGAAACACAAAACCTTGAGTTACGATCGCTGTTGCAGCAGCAACAACAAGGGACAACTGATAAAGGGGAAAGAGAAACCCCAATCCTTGCACCAGGAGTTATGCTTTCGGCTGTGACAAAGACCTTGGCTCGAAAAGTTGTCAGTCAGCTTGGTGCCGATGCATCTTCATTGTCGCAAGACAATATGGAAGATAGCATGCGGAAGGTAAACAAATATGTACGTAACTCATCCACCTGCTTTTTCTTAGTAGTATTCACATGCACTCATTAGAAACATTATCTGGTTACTGCTGATATGTCACCATTGAATTGAGCTTGTATACACTATTTGATAACAGTTCATGCAATTTTAAAAAATGCTATGGTTAAAGCTTGGGTGCTTGTTTTTCAGCATGTAAGGTTTTGTGAAAGTTACCTGCCATAAAAAAATCACTATAAATCTTCCTAAGTTTATCCACAAAAGAACGAAGCATTTTATCTCAAAAACTGGGCAGGTCTTTATCTGATTTCTCAAGAACTAGCACATGATAAAAAAATCAGAAAATTATTTTGTTCTGCAGTCTGCTGATACTGCTGATAAGACATTAGCACATACTCTTTTTTTACATCTTGACCAACCTGCATACAAGTGTCTGATAGAGCAACTGTATTTTTCTTTATAATATTTATGTTTTTACCCAATAAGCTAACATCAGCATAAACCAGAAGATGATGATTTAATTTCTGTTTCAACCATTCCTAATTCACTTTGACCTTACTTTTATTGTACTCGGAAGCAAAGTTGAAAAGCAATGACAACAAATCATATGTTCTTTTGAGACCATGGTCAGTAAGAAATGCATCTGGCAAGTGTTTATCTGTATGACTTTTACTGTATGTTTCATTAAAACACATTGTAATTATCAATGTTAAAATTCATAATTTTTGTACTTTCTCAGTTATGCTAGTAGCCTCAAAGTATTTCCTAAACTGGGTCACACTTTTTGATACTATTTTATTGATATCACATCCATTATTTTCTTCCTCAGCTGCAGATGGTACTTTTTTCTGCAAGATATTTGCATCCATTTTCAGTTTTTCAAGATTAAATCTCACTGGATTGTTTAATTTTTTTTGAGATTCACCAGTGGGTAAAAGAGGATGATTTAAGTGTCTAGCTAAAGGATCTTACAAAATAAAATCACAATTTTGACTTAAACTAGATCTAAGTACACTTTGATTAGTATGAAATTCTGCAGTTTTCTCCTTGGACAAGGGTATTCTGCAATCTAGTCCCCCTTCTTTTGTGTTTGCTTTTCAATGAATCTACCAAATTTATATTCAAAAAACAAAAATTTAGTGTATGTCTACGCATTTGATGTTATGTTTGGTATTATTTTCCTTTAGGCACAAGAGGATGCTGAAGTTTTGCGATCCTTAGTCATTCCTCTTGAGGAAGAGATTCGGGCACTCAAAGAAAAGCTACGCTACACAGATCAACAGCTCAGAAAATATGAAGGTGACAAGGTAAAATGAACATATCATGTAATGGAATATACATTTCAAGCTTAAGATCCAAGGGAATCTGTTCTGAAGAACTGTATCAATACAGTAGAACCTGAATTGAATAGAAACTTGCCTTTATCAGTAAACTTCATTGGTCCCAACTAAACCAATATAAATGACTGTTTAAAACAGAGATGAAAAGGAAAACAAGTGTTTAAAAATAGTGTGCATTGATGTTTATTTTGTGGTATAAAATTTTCTTCCTAGAGTTGATCTGAGAAAGAACATTTCTGGCAGAAATTTAAAAATATTTTAGCCGAACCATTGACAGGTTGTGAAGAATCCTTATGGTATACTGGAAAAGTAAAAAAGAAGGAACGAATACTTGAAAAGTATTGCTTATTAATAGTAATTTACTGTATATACTGAGGTTGTTAATTAACTAATTGGACTGATGTGTTTGTGTAATTACTGTTGACACATTATACATGTTTGTGCAAAACATGAGTGATAAAATGTTAAGAGGGAATTAAGATTAATAGTAGTAAAATTTGAAGTAAAGTGCAATTGGTATTTCCAGAATGTTACAGCAGGTTTATGAAGAGAGAACAACAGTAGAACACAGGTGTATTTGCTAATTAAGTGATTTCAAAATAGAAAGAAAGATGTGAGAGGTGTAAGTTTTTGCCATCCAACAACCTTATGCACAGATCAAAATTAAAATGTTATTGGAAAAGTGAAAATTTCTAAACATCTGTATAGAAACTTCAGATTGATGTTTATTGAAGATCTGACTGTAAAGGAAATCTGTGTCAAAATTGTACCATAATATCTCAGTGATGAGCAGAAAATGAGAGGAAAATTTTCACAAACATTTTAGGAAGACTATTGTAAAGACTTGACTTTTATAAAATGAATACTGATTTGATGAGACTTGGGGCCTTGGTATGACCAGGAACAAAATTTCTATGTCTGTGGAGTCTCCAAGACTAAAGTAAAAAGTGTGAATGCCAAAATCAGTGGTTAAAACTGTGCTGGTCCTTTTCTCAAACAAACAAACAAACAAACAGTTGATTGGGTCTGGAACCTTCACGGCTATGCATTAGTAAAAGTAGACCCATTGTTTGGGTGGAGAAGTAGATTTTGCATCATGGTGGCATGATTTCCCACCCAGCATGATTAGATGGGTGAGCTAGGAAACTAACTTTATTCCACATGGAAACAAAGCATCGGGTGATCCGTGAGAACTGCCTGCTATCCACGAGCATCTCACTACATCTAATACAAGTATACTCTGTACAAACATAAGTCAAAACATCACACTCATCTGATTTATCCATGTATTTTTTTCATATTCCCAGAACTAAATAGTTCCTTGAAAGGGCCTCATTTTGAATAACTTGAAGGCATTCCCTGGGGTTTTCCAACAGAAAATTTTTATATTAATTTTGTTTCTTTGAAGCATGCTATGTGTCCTATGCATCTCTTCACTTTTTTATTTTTTCACTGTAGAACATTTAAGTTATTAGTACAGATTTTCTGCATTCTATACTACTTTTCTTTGTCTCTCTGTACATCTTTCTTAGGTATAAATATTGTTCTCAAACACCCCTACTCTAGTTCCTTTCTTCAAAGTGAGAAATTTGTCTTACTGGAATTTGAAATTCTGAAATGTTCCCCCATCGTGTAAATAAATTGTATGTATTGTGTTCTTATTTTTAGGATGATGCCATGAAATTCTCTGAAGAAATTGGAGATTTATCAGTTAAAGAAATTGTTTCTGTTGGTGCTCAAAATGGGCCAAGTGTAAGTGTACGTTTAATGTGACAAGCCTTTTGATGTTAGTCCATATAGTATTTAGGTTATACATGCTGTCTTACTGTGTTAGCCCAAGAACGTACCCATATACTGTCCGCCAGTGTAATCTTGAGACTTGCAAGGAATGCAGGAAGTCTGAAGTGTTAAAGGCTACTGCATAGCAGACGCTATCTTTCCTCCTTCACCCCACTTTCTCGCCCCACAAATCTCAAGATTACAGTCACGAACAGTACCATGCAGTATTTATTTTAATGCCTGATCTAGGAACAGTGTTGTATGTAATCAGAAAGGATTGTTCTGTAATGAGTGATAATGTTTTTGACTTGTATTTTGAAAATACCTATTTTTTATCTAAACCAGATTACTTGTTATACTAAATGATGATTTCATGACTTTTCTAGTCTGTTCAGATGCCAGGATCATATCTTAAAACAGGCCATAACCTCCTTTTAAAGCTTAACCAACTCACTATTTGTGAACTCATCTGATTTATAGTTATGTAACCTCTGCAGCTGTACTTTCTTCTTACTGAAACAGTTATTATTCTGTCAGTGTATTTTACCATGATGCCTTGCTGACAGCATGCAAGAGTAAGAAACCACATTTCACAACCATGTGAATCTTTATAGTGTCCTGATAAGTAGGCTGGATGATAAATTATGAATAGACCATAATGAATTTTCTGACTATTATAATTACCTTTACCCAAGTTACTCATGCTTGATTTCCATTTTGACGTAAATACGTCTATACGGAAGGGTCATTCGGCAAAAAAGTGAAAGGAAAACGTGTAACGAAAACGTGTAAGATCCATATCAATAATGTGTAAATATAGACCGAAAACAATGGTCAGCTTGCGTGCATTGTTATGTTACCTAGTAAACATCATCTGTTTACTCGGCATTGTTGTGTTACATTACTGCTGTCAACAATCAGCTTTCGTTATTGCGGAAAGAGCTGAGCTGTGAATCGCTTGTAGAAGAAGTGCATCGTAGACTAGATAATTTTGTGCTGGTAAAAACGTTTTAGAATATCACAAGTACTTATCTTATATAAGAATTATTACATTACATTTCATTACATTACAGAGACGTATTTACGTCATATTCTCCAGAACCGTGGTTCCACTGTCAACTTTTTATTATACTGATGGTATGAAATATTACATATGTACAAGTTGTCCATGCAGTATGCAGCAGGGTGTATTTAAGATTTTAACTTGAGCTATATTTGCTACCATAATGCAGAATAGCTAACTAGAATGTGTTACATGGCAGAGCTTTTGTTCTTCATTTCTTTTTAAATTTTATTACTGTAGCTATCTTATTATTTTAACAAAATTGACTTGTTGGGTTTTATGCAGTAAAACAGATTCTAAGGTGTGACAGAGGTAAGCAAGTATTCCTAAAATTGGATATTAACAGTTTTCTGCATATATCCTAAGAATAGTATTTATATTGTAGGTTGTATCACCTAGTAGAGATCCTGGCAGTACAGTGATTCAATCAACTAGTCTGGACTCAAAAGTTCATCAGTCACAAGCTGCAACTGGCTCACCAAGTAAGATATATTGATCAGTGGGTGGCATTTAAATAATTATTGTAATTTAATTACATATGATTTCAGTGCAGGAATAGTTCCCAAATTTACAATATAAAACTAATCAATACTGGCCCAGATTTGTGTGTTTGCGTGAGCATGCATGTGTGTGTGTGTACTAGTAGTAGTCTAGACCAAATTTGTGTTATATTTTGTTTTCATGTACATGCATTCTTATAGAGAAGGGATTTATATGTACGAGGGTCGCTCATTAAGTAATGCCCCACATTTTTTTCCTCAGAACATATTTATTCAAGATGGCTCAAATTTAGTGACAATATAAATCAATGTTTCCTTTACACATACTATTTTTCCACATAGTCCCCATCAACTTGTACGGTTTTACGCCAGCGTGGAACAAGGGCATGCATGCCTTGCCGGTACCAGCTCTTGTCCTGTCCCCGTAGCCATGTCCTCACTGCTTGAATCACGCTCTCGTCATCTTCAAATCTTGTTCCGCGGATAGCATCTTTAAGGGGCCCAAAGAGATGGAAGTCGGAGGGTGCCAGATCTGGACTGTAGGGTGGATGGGGTAGCACCGTCCAACCCAATTTGGTGATTTCTTCCCGGGTTCTCAGACTTGTGTGAGGGCGTGCATTGTCGTGCAGGAGCAAAATTTCTGCTGGATGCTTGTGAGGCCGAACTCGTCGAAAACGCTTCTTGAGGGTTTTCAGGGTCCTGATGTACGCGTCTGAATTGATGGTCGCACCTCTTGGCATCACATCCACAAGAATGACCCCATCACTGTCCCAAAAGACAGTCATCATGACTTTTCCGGCGGAGGGAGTTGTCTTGAATTTCTTCTTTCTCGGTGATTGAGGATGATGCCACTCCATTGACTGCCTTTTTGTCTCTGGCTCAAAGTGGTGTATCCAGGTTTCGTCACCTGTAATGATCCGGGACAGAAAGACCTCTCCCTCAGCATCAAAACGCTCCAACAATTCAGAAGAAATCGTTTTCCTTTGAATCCTGTGGTCTGCTGTGAGACTTCGTGGAACCCATCTTGCGCACACCTTCGAATATGCAAGAGCCCGGATAATTGCAATCACACTTCCATTGCTGACTGAAAGCTGTTGGGCCAATTGTCGAGTTGTGATGCGCCGATCCTCACGAATAATGGCATCCGCGCGGTTCAACATGTCTGGAGTGGTGGCTGTGGCAGGACGCCCAGAGCGCGGCAGATCACGGAGCTCGGTTTCTTCACTTCCTGAAGCTTTAACTCTCTTAGCCCAGCGACCAACGGTGCTCCTATCGACTGCACAGCTTCCATACACAGCACACAAACGTTTATGAATGTTCACCACCGTTTCTTTTTCAGCAACAAGGAATTCAATTACAGCTCGTTGCTTGTAACGAGAGTCGTTCACAGACGCCATTTTAACAGTTCACTACAGCTCCGCTATCGGTTGGAATCATTTGAAACTCCGTACACGAACGCGGGAAACATCAAATCTCAAGCATGTAAAAGTACACTTTTCTATCTTCATTATTGGCTGAGAAAAAAAATGTGGGGCATTACTTAATGAGCGACCCTCGTAGATATTTATGACCATGTATAGTTTTGTAACCCTGTTTCATGAGGTGAAATTTTGCAGTGTGCCATTATATGTCTTTGAGAAATTATGGTATACTGCAGGTGAAAAGAAGTTGCAGAACACTGTTCTAGATTGTGATTTAGAATATATGGGACTTTGCCAAGAGGACCTGTGAATGCTTTTGTGGTGTGGTGCTTGCCAGGCTACTTTTTTCTTTGTTTTCTTTTTGTTCAGTCTTCTTTGCCTTCTGCTTGTGTGTGTATTTCAAGGTAGTCTACTTCAAATTAATTTTGTAAAAATGCTTACATATGCTTTGTTTCAACATGATTGTTGTTAGAATATGAAGATTTTCATTGATGAATACAGAATTCCAAAAACATTTTATTATGTCCAGCAGATGGAGTCATTTAGGTGTAAAAATCATGGCAGAACTGAAGGTATGGCTCCTTAAACCTTTGATCCAATAAAAGGAAGTATGGTTGATATACCAAACTTCACAGTTGAGTCATTATCACTCCTGCTTTGTGTTTGGGAGGCTCTCAATCTGAATTTGGAGATTAGCTGTCCTGACTGAAATTATTCTTAGTTTTCCAAAGTTATTTTAGGCAAGTCTTGGGAAAGTATCTATGGCAAATTCCTTCTACAGTTGTTATAGTTCACTAATCATCCTACCATTTGATGTTATGTAACTAGCAGTTGAGAACATGTTATTAAGTAATTCAAGAATCAATAAATCCACCTCAACATTAGGCTGGGAAGTGTTGCTTTCTGAAATGACCTCCATGTTGTACATGAATATCTCTTATAAAATATTCAGTAGTATGCAGTGTCTTACTGTTTTTTTCTTTTCTTTTTTCATTACAGAAGTAAATGTAATGAACACTTCAGTCACATCGATATCTAATCTAAATGAACTTCAGGTTGGTAGTTTGAAGAAGCAAAGTCCTGATGGCCATTCTTCTATTGCAGAGGATTCAGAATCAGTGACAGGTTAGTGAGAAATATTGTGGAGTGATTTTTAGTGCTCCCTCTTGTTAAACAATTTGTGAAATTTCCATTTAGTGTTTCTCTGGGGGACAGCAGACTTCATGAAATGCTGTTGTGTATACGTAACACTCCTGGTGCTTCATAATCTTATTGGCTGAAACACTATCATAAAATAACTAAATAAAAATAACAGCAACTAGGCTAAATAATATACATTTAGGAAGTTCTGGGTGTGTGCCTAGGCCATTTTTCTCTTCAGCAGATGAAGGGGTTGTACCTACAAGTAGGCCAAGACACTTCCTTCCGTATCGCATCTGCTGCATCATTCATGTTTGCCCGATTGTGTTTCATTAGGTGTTCTATAATCTCAGCAGTTGATGCAGTATCTACTCCTAATATAATAGCCAATGTTTGTCAAACTTATGAGTGCACCATTTGTGCGATGCAGAAAGAATTGAAATTAAGTTCTCGTGACTGTGACAGCAAGAAATGGGATCTGGCAGGAGTCTGGAGTCAGGTGATAAGTTTTATGTTGATGCATTTGGCTGGATTTTTGCTTCAGCCATGGGGAAGATGTTTTCATATCTATTTTACTTTGTAAATTTATTTTATGCTTATGATGCAATTTGTAAAGATGCTGCTGCAATAAATTATATTACTGTTTGATGTGAAAGAGGTTTATTCCTGACAATTTTCTGTCATACTATTCTGCTCATAAAACAATGAAATAAACAAAAAGGGAAGAAATATGGTAAGAAGTCTGAAAATTGTTATAGTTTTGGCTTTCAGGAATTGATGAAATATAATTTCTGTTCATGGTTTCTAATTCTTACATTTAGATATAGTGAGCAAGAAAGATGGTGAGAGTGTTGGTTCACCAGTAAGCCAGGGTCATCTCTCTGCTATTGCCAGACTGCCGCAAGCTGTGACACCTTGTGACATGTGTTCCAACTATGAGGCTCAACTTGTACGAGCTC